TTATTTGCATCCATTTTCGAAGTCGAATGAGAATTTGAGGAAGTAGCAATGTGGGGATTTCCAGAATCTTGTTCAACCCTTTCTATTTCATCAGCTACTAAGTTCAGACTTCCTTCTATTTTGTTATTTTTGCCCGTAGTTAAGAAGCGGAATAGAGTAGATGATTGCAAACTCAGTCCTCTGTAGTAAGTTAAATTTGTTCCTGAAATATAAAAAGGCTTAATTGCTAATAAATCTATGACTTTTTCAAAAATTGCAATTATATGCATCACTTTTAAACTTGGCAAATATATACATCACCTTTACAATTTTTGGCAATTGTATGCACCGGGCCCAATTTTGGGCTTTGACTGCCGACATGGCTGCTGAGTTTAAAAGTGATACATATAATTGCAATTTTCGAAAATGTCATGGTTTTATTAGCAATTAAGCCAATAAAATATTTATTTGATTTTAATTTACTATTTATTTTATTATATTTACTATCTTATATTATATTATCTTATAAGATAATAAATATAAGATAATGAATATTTATTATATAATAATAATAATATTATAACGTAATACATTATATATTCAAACTTGTGAATATATGGACGCTACGTATTAATAAATACAATCAAATTTTGAAGATAATGTAAATTATATTAATAAGATATAAACTTATAATAATTAAAATATAATAAAATAAATTATAAAATAATAAATGAAAAATAAATTAAAATAATGTAAGATAGATTATTATAATATAGTGCATTTAAACTAAATTACATCAAAATAATATATATTAATTAATTCTAAAATTAATTATATAAATTTGGAAATAAAAACTAATAATGATAAAAATAAATTAAAAAATAAATTAGATTAAAGTGCACCGGTGAAAATTAAATAAGAATAAAATAATCTAACATAATAAAGTATAAAAATAAAAATCTATTTATTTTATTTATTTTACCATTTTTTATAAGTAAATATATTATTTATTATATTATCATATTTTTTATTATATCAGATAATATAAGATAGTATTAGATAATATAAGATAATATAAGGTAATATAATATGAGATAATATGTTTTTTATAAAATGATATAATATAAGATAATATATTATTTACTAATTATTATATTATCTTATATTTATTATATTATAAAATATAATATTATATAATGTAATACATTATAATATTATTATTATAATATAATAAATATTCATTATCTTATATTTATTTAGAAAATATAACTACTGAAATAGTAAAATAAAATTAAATAAATATTTTATTGGCTTAATTGCTAATAAAACCATGATCTTTTCGTAAATTGCAATTATATACATCATTTTTAAACTCAGCAGCCATGTCAGCAGTCAAAGCCCGAAAATAGGCCCGGTGCATACAATTGCCAAAAATTATAAAAGTGGCGTATATATTTGCCAAGTTTAAAAGTGATGCATAAAATTGCAATTTTCGAAAAAGTCATGGATTTATTAGCAATTAAGCCAATATAAAATTTTGTTAACTCTAGTACAACAAATGAGAATTAGTTAAACTCATTCATATTATATTTTAATACTTATGAAAATGATATAATGAGGCTAAATAATTCAAGTAGTATTGTTATATAATCAAATTCATGGACTTGGAGAAAAAAGGTACATGTTTGAAGTTGAAGACTATCTGGTAGTATTTTTTTGATATTTTGATGCCACCCTGAATCACCCATTGGAAAAAGTAGAGGATATTGCAATGGGTCATAACATCTAAAGTAGTGTTTTATTCTGTGTCTATATCCAGAATGCGCATGGATGACAATGTCGCGCTCAAATGGCATGTCATTATTATTTCCTTCTACCCATATCGCAGCTACTTGATCTAGTTTCACGTCTTTTGCAATATGAAGTTTGATATCATCAATCGAAGGGATATCTTTCAATCTTCTGAAGATCCTCGAATAAGGATTAATATCAAAAATATCCACGACTATTTTCACCATACATTCACTTAATGATGAATTTTCGAAAATCCTCATTCTGTTTTCCACCTCATTTTCCGTCTCCACAAAATATAATTGAAAATAACCAGGATCCCTTTCATTAGGAATAAGCTCTAGAAGATCATGGTAAACCATTCCTTGTGCACGGAAGGTATAAACTCCTCGTCTTGCAGAAGCTAGATCTTTATCTAGCTTTACTCCAAATGGTGTGAAAGAGAAAATGCTATTGAGTTGGCGAATAGATTTACGAAATTCATTCGACTCTTTTGAATCTGAAGTGAACAAGTCATAAAGTTCGTCTGGGACATCAATGGGTGCGAGTTTAACTTTTCCATTGTCACAACAAAAAGTCGAAGGCTCATACTGAAATCTAACAGCATCACAATAACTGCACTTTCGAACTTTCTTCAATTCATGTGTTTATGGGCTACTTAGTCTTTTATCAATTGAACCTAAGATAGTGTTAAAAAAATCAGAGTTATAGAAGAATTATTTTCATAATCTAATTATAAAAATAATATATCAAATATTGTTCAATAAATAATAATCAGTACCTTCGGACTCATTCATTGTTATTTGAGCTCTCAAAAACCACTTATATTGTGGATTCGTTAGCTTGTTCCTGCTTCTAACTTTCTCAAATAGTCCTTCTTCTTCGCAGAATCAAAGTCGGCATATTTTCTTTTCATCTTTTCCAGATTTCTTTTTTGATAAACATCTTTGGCTATAATATGAAAATAAGAAGAGTATGGTATATGTTTATCACACACTTATTTATAAACAAATAGACATGCTCCATATTATATTGTATGGAATTTTAAGGAAAAAATTTATTAAATATGATTTACCTGAAGAAGTACTTGGCATAGATGAACGTCTATACATTTCAATTTGCTTACTTGACCCTGAAACGAAACAAAAATAAAGTAACTATGTCCGTGGTTGCTACAGATGATGCAAAACATAGCTTTGTTGATGAAAATTCCACAATACTTAATGTTTATGCGCAAATACATTTAATATTTATCAAAATTAATTATAAGAAAAAAATTGAACCCTCTAGAAAAATAAGTTTAGTATCAGCCCAGAAAGTGAAAAACTTAAAACATATCACACAAACAAGAGAATAATGTTTGGAAGACCATGATTATTTCTTATTTAAGGTCACTCTCAACAATGTCTATATGTAATTAAACTTTTAACAATCAAATGATCATATAAAGGATTTAATTGTCACCATAGTTACAGAAAATAAGGCTCCACCAAATCATGTGATTATTCAAACAAGCTCGATGGAGACTTGTTTCTTGAAAAAATTGAATTGCCAAAAATGTCATACGCTATAATTAATTCTAAGCAATGTAATTTTGTCACAATTGTTAGGGAATTACAAATATTAATAGTTACAATCATTTTTTCAATCAATTATTTTTCATTCTACTTTATTATTTGTTTTATCTATGATCTTTTATTATATTTTTTACGTATTCAATAATTTAATTTCTTTTAGTTGATATATAGATGTTAAGATTATACAAACAAATGTGTAAGTTAGAAATAAAAAAATAGAATAAAATTTGCTGAAATGTACTTTTTATATAATTTAATTTCTTTTAGTTGATATAAAGATGTTAAGATTATCTAAACAAATATGTAAGTTAGAAATAAAAATAGAATAAAATTTAAGGAAAATATAGTTTTTAAATGTAAGGAAAATATTATTTTTAAGATTTTTTTAAATAAAATATATTTGATTTCACAAGTATAAAATATATAATGCACCAATAAAAGGATCATCTCTAATTTCTAAATATCATATTTTTGCTTTTAGATTCTTTTTTTTTATAGTATTAAAAAAATGAAAAAGGAACAATTTAGTAAGCAGACATATGTTTAGGAATGATTAAATAAAAAATAACTCTTCAACATATACAAAAAGTCAATTTTTTATGGAAAAAAATTATTTGTTAAGTGAAAATATATAATCTTAATAAAATTATTTTGTTCAAATTATTCACTAAAAAAATATGCATATTACAATTTAAGTTTACCTGCTAATAATATGTATAATATAAATTTTCTTTTATAATGATATGTGTTACACAAATTAATCTACCATTTACTTTAATTGTAATATAAATAAAAATAGAGATTATAAAAATAAAATAAAATAAATTTAATAGTAAAAGAATATTATATACATTTACTTCTGCCTAAATAACTAAAAAAAATGTAATCACAAGTTTACTTTATAAAATATTGATTCCTAAATAGTTAATTACAAAATATCATATACATATTTTTCTTTCCCCTTAAGAACAGCAAAAGGTAGTTGAAGTATGATATAAATGTTTTGTTATCTATTTGACAAATAAAAAATATACAATAAAAGAATGGAACACCAACTATGATTATTAAAAAAAAAATATTTATAATGCACACAAAGGTAAACTATAAAAAAATTAAAAAAAACAACATTAGACAATCCATAATTCATACAACAATTCAGCCCAAGCAATCCTAAAGGAACCAATGTGGATTACGTAAACAAAAAAGTAAGAAATTCAGTACATATGG